AATCAAGGTAAAAGTTGCGGCCATCCTTCAGGATTTTCTCTCCTTTTTTTTCACTGGGTCCAAGTTTGCTGCTTGGTACATGGATAGATAGAATCATACAAAAAAAATTAAAAAAATTGCTTGTTAGGTGGGGTTTTTATTGTTAAGTAGGTTGTTTTTAAAAACTAATTTTTATTTAAAAAAAATAAGGTATTAAAATAACTTTTGTTTTTTATATTATTATATCAAAACTCTAAAAAATTAAAAATATATTTAGTTGATGTATTTTCAAGTAAAATATAGTGAAAAACAGAAGCTACTATGTTCTCCGACATCTTTTTATACATAGAGTCCCTTGTAAATAAAACACTATATTTCAGTTCTTGATTTACAACTTTTAAATTCATTTTGGTGTGTGTGTGTGTACACGTGGCTTTTCTTAGTTTTGAGTATATTAGTTGGTTTTTCTAAAGACGGAAAAAATTACTTTTACCCATTAACTCCCTTGTATTTATGCGGTACTTTTTATTTCAAGTTTTAGAAAATTCGTTCATTGTTTTTCATATTGTATTTATCCATTATATTTTTGTCATCGCTACTCCCTCCCATCAATGGACGAGATTAAAATTTGATCGCTGACTTCCTGTCTTGTTAAGATTGTTCCAGACAATTTAAAAAAATAAAAATAAAAATTGGTCGTAAAATATTAGTTCGGTCCCGGTCTTCTTGATGTTCTGTGATGAACTTTTTAATCGGATTAGTTTGTAACCATTTTTTACGATTGCGATCAATATTGTTGTAAATTTATCATGCTTGGAGGGTTAGTTAGTTGACTTGTGTTTGTACGTAATGGAGTTAGATTTAGATTGAGACATTTTTTGTTTTTGCTTATGAACCTGTTTTTTGAAACAAAAAAAAAAACATTTCAAGAAGTATGAAAAATAAATGTGCACTTAGTTTTGCGAGGTTGTAGTATTGTTATTGGGTCATTGGGTTTTATTTTTCACTTTGATTTTTCATCTTGTTTTCTCAATTTCTCTTGAATAAAAAACAAAAAAGGTTGCACGTATTTAAACAATCATTGTAATTTTTTTATAGATAAATGAAATCGAGATATTAAATCGAACGACAACTTGTTGCATATGATATTTTATATATATGAACCTCTAGATTCGCCATCAAGTATATGACCTATGTATTTAGTTTTTGATCTAGCTTGGAAAAAAAAGAAATCATCAACAGAAATCTAGAGTGGAAGGGAGGTAACCGTAGCTCGAGGAGCAAGACGCACAGTAGTATATTAACAAAATTGCCCTTAAGTTATGGAACTTTTGAGCTAAATTCTTTAGGGAAGATGGTCTTTTTATAATGATATAATTGTTTTTTATAAATTATACAGGGTTAGATTCATCCTTTGAGTTTTAGTCTTTTCAATTTTTTAAAGTGTAAATACTTCACTGCTCTTTAATTTTAAAAAATCCAAATAAACTCTTCGGCGGGGTTAATTGGTTTTTTTATTGTGATTTTTTTGTAATAAGAAGTTAGTTTATGAGCATTTATTGTATTGTTAGTGAATATCAAATATTAAATATTAAAAAATACTTACTAATACATGCAGGTGATCTAGCAATTAAAACCCTTCTACATCGACAGTGTTGAAATCCTTACAACACCTTATCTTTATGATAGGATGATACATGTTTCAAAAATTAATTTGGTATGGAGGACTATTTCCCCTCTTCCCTCTTCTCTCTCTTTTAAATTTTCATGTTAGCCTCCTAAATATTCCTTTTAATTTGTTAACTCTTCATGTTTGGTCCTTGTTATAAAAATTGTATTTTTTTCTATCTTAGAGACTTTATAAAATTGGAATGATTTTTTAATTTTTTTTTCCTTTTCAATTTTTTCATCTTTTAAATTTGGTCTCCATTTTTTTATACAATTTTTTGTTTTGTTTGAAATTATTTTTAATTTTTTTTATAACTTACTCTCTTTGTTTTATTCTCTAATAAATTTAATCTTTATTCTTTTGATTTTTTTTAAAAAAACTTTTAAAAGTGATATTTTAAAATTGATTGACAATGAAATTTGTTGATTGAACTTGGAATCAGGGTTTCATGAATTTAGAAAGTATACTTGGATTTGCTTGACTTTTTTTTTTTTTTTATCTAGGCTATTTTTTTTTTCTCATTTCTCATGCTTCAGCATTTATTTAATAGAGATCAAGTTCCTCTCTTTTTTCAACTTGCTTTATGTAAAACTTTTGTTGGTTTTGAAAATAACTTGGTTATCTCAAGTCTTTTAATTTATAGTTCTTTGTTTTTTTAAAAAATTCTTTAAATAGATACCCTCAATCCCATCTTTCAATTTTTGAAATGATTCTTTTAAGTGATTTGCAAGGTTATAATTTTTTCTCTATTTCATCCCCTTTTATTTTTCTTTTATTTTTTGAATATAATTCTCATTCTTTCAGCTGTTATTTGTTTAATTTTAGATAAATTTTTTAAAATTATTTTTATTTATTTACTTTTCTAGCTTTTATATCTTTTTATTTATTATTATTTAGTGGATTTATTTTGGCTATTCAATATTTATTTTTGTAAAGATTATGTCATTATGCAATCTCCTTCAAATATAGTGTCATCGAATAATATTAAATATTATTTTTTAATAAAATATTTTTTTTAAAAAAATAATTTTTTTACTATTCACATGAAACAATGCAAGTGAATAAAATCATTGCAGTGTTATATATTAACAAATGTATAAAGTGAATTTATTCACTCTGTATACTGTTCATTTAACAAAAGTAAACAATTCTAGCAACATAGGTATATCTTACTTTATCCCGATTTATATTTTTGTATGATTTTTTGTAGGTTTAATAAACTAAAAATACTATTTATTATTTTAACTAAATATCATAAAATTATAGTTTCTTTAAAATACAATCATCATTGCGTAGATAAACATGTTCCGGACACACAAATCTAGTAATAAAATTAAATCTAAATATGTTTTGTTTTCTTCTTGGAAAAAAGCCCTTCCGTTCTACAAAAATGGACACTTAGTTGTGGAGGGTTGTGTTGTCGTGTTCATTTTGATTTTGTAACAGCATGTCCTCTCCTTACCGCGCGGGATATGCCTTCATGGTTGATAGACCTTCACGGTTGATAGATCACCGTATATTACTGGTCCAAATCTTTTTTTATCCTATTCTACAATGAAATATTTAAATATTATAATTATTTTTTAAAATATTTTTTATTTTAAAAATATTAAAATAAATGTTCTTTTAATTATTTAATTTTTTTATATCAACATCAAAATAATTTTAAAAAATATATAAAAAATTAATTTTAAAAAAAGAGTTAATACATCGTTTTTAAGTATTAAACTAGAGGATGAATTTATATCGTTCTTAAAGATCTAAAACAAGTTAATACACAACTATCCAAATAGTTACTAGAATGAGAACATGCTAGTAAATAATTGATTAGGATCCACATGAATTTCTACGAAATCGTGTAGAAATAATTGTTACCTTGATGCTATGATTAGTTCTGTACTAGAAAGGATTGGATTATTGACTTGGAGATGCTAATGGAGGCTTTATGAAGTGTATGATTTGCCCTTCTCTTTCGTAAAGACTTTCCAGCCTTCTTATTCGTCCCCGTTTATATCGAAGGAAATTCTATTCCTTTATGCTCATTTTCACCAAAGAACGAACCTCAATTGAAGTTCCATGTGAATTTTTTTCACATTTAAATTTTCATTAAATAAAAGACTTGGACCATAAAAGGGGTGTGTCTATATATATATATAACAAAGTTGGTAATGGAAATTAGAAAAAAACTATTCAAATTATTTTATTCATAAACACTAAAAATAATGGTGCATCACCACAACAAGTACTATTTTTTTAATTTATCTATTTATATAGTTTTAATCATCATTCAACTTGTTAAAAATTAAATTTTATAATTAATTTTAATTTAATTTATATGAAGTGATCATAATTCTATAATCATAGTTACTAATTAAACTATTTGGTTGATTTTTTTATTAATATTTTTTTAATTATATCTTTCAATACTTTATTTATTATCAATCAGACTTTCCTAAGTTATTTTAATGTGGTTGATATGAAATTATTTTAATTTCATGTTTTGAATTATGAGTCTGACGTGTTAATTAAGTTATTTTTTAGTGTTTTTCAATAATTTTTTTATAATTTAATCTCTTAATACTAAATTATTTGATAATTATATTTTATAATTTATTAAGTTTAACCGAATATATCTTATTAAATTTCATATAATTTTTTCCCATCTAGAAAAATATTAATAAAATCTAATTATTTTTTTATTTAAAAAGTTTTGTTCCAGAACTGCCCGAATGAATAATCTAGAATATAAATAATCAAATTTAAAGTTGTAGCTAACAACTTTAAATTCAAATGTAGAGGTCCATCATGTTGGATGATGGTCTACCTTCATATTTGTATAATTCGGAAATTTTTAACCGCCACCACTTTCACCTTTATAGAGATAAAAGTCGCTCTATATGTTAACCCCTAAAAATAAGATTTGGTAATTTTTAGGGACGAGGAAGAAAAATCACGGATTGATAATTTAATACTTAACAGTGGTTTCTATCTATTCCATCGCCAAAAGAAAAAGAAGAAACCTGGCCACTTAGGCAGGGCCCAGTAAGACAAATTAGATCCACTGGATTCTAACTCTAATCAACCCAGGCCTGGTTCAAGAACGAGCATAACAGCTTTTTATCAGGCCAGGAGGAATTGAAATTTCAGGCCTTACCTTCATGAACCAATCCCTGAAATGCAAATGCAAACCCGTGAGCTAGTCTTCCTACACCGCTTGTTTTGCCAGTCTTCAAAGTTCAAACCCATGGTCTCTTGTTTTAGATATTTTAAGAAAAAGCAAAAAAAAACCCCTAGCAGCTGTCCGTATAATATCAATTGCGGGTTGGTTGTTATCATTTTCTTCTCTAATCACTGGCGTTTTCTTTCAATTTTTGTTTTCGTAATATGTTTGTTTGGCTATTAATTGCAGGCTTTTTTTGCCATGTTTTTATTCATTGGTTTAAATAACATGTATTCTCCCTCCGAGAGGCAGCAATGCTTAAGGTGCCCAATCTGGCTATGCTCAATGTGTAAGAACTTTCGTTTACGTGCTGTTAGTTCACTGCAAAGTAAAATTGCAGCTTTTCTTTTAAGTAGGCCAGATTATTTTTTTTCACCGTCTTTCGATTTTGATGACATAAGAATGACTGAAAATTGCTGTTCTTGGGCAATTTCTTTCGGTGTACGTTAGTGTGTGTTTGTTATTGTGATGAGGTGCTTTTCAAAATTGATTTTCAATTGAAAATAAAATGCATTAAAATGATTTTTTATTTTTATTTTTAAGATCATCACATCAGAACCATTATAAATTACTTCAAAAATCATCAATTTGATGCTTTTGAGGTGAAAAACAATTTGAAAAGCAGAAGCAAACGCAATGCCAAAGCTTGATTAGTTGATAATTATCCATGCTGTGTTCTGGTGTAATTTTTTTTCTTCCTGTGCGAGTGGTCGCGGAGTAAAGGTCTCATTCTTAAATTTGAAATCTCGTCTTCTCGCTATTTGTTTTTCTTTTTTCACAACTGGGAGCTGCTTATTCTATGAGCTTTCCTTTGTAATTCGAGCATGTTGTTTTTTCTTACTGCTTGTTAATTTTGATTGTACGCAAATCAGTAAAATTATTGTAGCTTTTCTTGTAATTTGGACAATCGCTCTTATGATTATTACTTTTGATTGATTCGGGACATACGTGTCTCATGCTTTGATTGATTCGGGATATACGTGTCGTTTTTTTAATCGAAATCTGGTTGGCTGGGAATGACCTATTCTGGGAGCTCTGTTTGGCCTGTAGGCATTCATCGAGTCTAGGCGGTCCTCAGGAGGCTGATGTTGGTGGATACAGAGATTATGCTTCAGCCACATCACATTTTGAGGGCCAATACAGAGCTGTTTATGGCTCAGCTTCCATGAGTGGTGCTCAACAGGTCTTTTTTACTCCTATTCATGGTCATTTCAGAATCTTTTTTTTTTTCTAATTTAAAGGAAATCTATACCCTGACACAATCCTTATAGTTATGGGTTCTGTTTTTCATTAGCTTATTTGCATGTTTTCTAGTAATTAATCAGTAATGTGGGTTGAAATTCTTGCTACTGCATGTATTAAGATAATATCCTAACTTAATGTGAAGTCACTTCTTGAGATTGATAAAATGCCTGCTCACAGTTTTAACAAATACGATGATTTTCATGTTGACTGAGCAAGTTTGGCTGAAAGTTCTCTATATGGTTTGGATTGGCAAAGTTCAGTCACTTCTTGAGATTGATAAAATTCCTGCTCACAGTTTTAACAAATACAATGATTGTCATGTTGACTGACCAAGTTTGGCTGAAAGTTCTCTACATGGTTTGGATTGGCTTTTTATTTAGTATTTCACGGGCTACAAGTTAGGAATTTGACTGGTAGTTTTCACCTCTCTTCTATACGCAGGGAATTCTTGCAGAATCACTGGGCAAAGACTTGAATGATCATGTATTTACCCTAGTGGAAGGCATTGTCGATGCTGGCAAAAAGAGTGGCAATACTGGTAGTTGTGAGGAGTTGTTAGGATGTGCTGAGGAGGGAGAGAGATCTGTGGCCGGCCTCTGTTGAGGACCAATGCAAGGAAATGACCATCCACGAGGTTTGTGATGTGAATATTCTCGATATCAGATAGTTTTCACCTTTTCAATGAATGCTTAATGCTTGAAACCAGTGTCAAGTGTAATGAAATTCAGTGATTTGTTCTCAGTTGAACTCAGCTCTTAAAGAGCCTGCTGTTAAGGACATGGTCTTTCCCCCGTGGATTCGGGTTGGAGGTCTCATTTCCCCTAAGATTAGGAAGAATATATCTACATTCCTTCTCATCCTAACTGCAGTTTATCATTTCAGACACATTTTTAATTGTCATAAACTGGTTCTCCTAACTGCAGTTTATCATTTCAGGCACATTTTCAATTGTCATAAACTGGTTCAACTGTAAAATTGAATTTAGTGTGGTTGCTTCCGTACCTGCTTGTCCTCGGTATTGACAGGTTAAATGTCTCAATGAGCTGTTGCTTCTGCTGTATTTAAACTTCGAAGAAGATGTCAGTTTTGGTGGGGCGTGGGGTGGGGCTGAGGATTCATATCTGAACAGCTTCCCAAGTAAAAATACTGGAAATTAAATGAAAATTAGATGTAGTTGTGCACATTAAATCGTGCTCAAACTTTTTTGAAGTATCATTGTTCTCTAACTTTCTTAAGTTGGTGTCTTGTAGAAGTTTATAACGGGCATTGGATCGCATTCACAATACTCTCAAAGGTGCGAATGGTTTAAAATTTTAAACATGCCCCATTACTTTCGCTGGATATATTTGAACCAAACATCAGGTTGCTCCAGATGTTTTGCGTAGCTGATCCTCCTTACGACAAGTCACTCCAACAATTGCAAAGCTTTTTATCAGGTCTAGTTTCTGAAGAGAAGTTAGAACTAAGGGATGGGATGTACTTCTTGAAGAAGTAAAAGCTGGCATTCTTGTAATTCACCCATCAACTCTTGAAATAGCAAGCACACTGAGATTCTCTCTCAAAACCTTGCTGCTGACCGTCCGCAATGTTTTTCATTATAATATAGAGTAGTCACTCTTTTGTAATTAGTCATTACTGATTACTGTACACAATGACTACACCGGCCTCGCCGGTGAATCTAATATCGCTCTATATATATATATTAAATTCTCACCAGTTAACGAGGCACGCATTGATTCTTTAATTGAATAATTGCTAACTTTCTTTATTAAAAACAAATCCTCAAAATATTTTCTGAAAGGTTCCAAGTGCCATTACATCTAACAAAATCTACTACTAAAACCCAGAACGATGAATGTCATTTCTTTCTTAGAATGGTTGTCAAGAAAATATATTTCATTAACGGTTTATTGGCACTGGGGCAATGCTCTTAGGCAGAGTATATATATCATTTATCCTAGAAAATAAGGCTTCTATTGCTAATTTTTTACAATTTCATTTCTTTCTTTTTTTGAATATTAATTTAAGTGTTAAAATCGAAATACAATAAAGTTTCAGCCTCTCATGTGATTAGAAGTAGATGAAGTCCCAAAATCACCTGTCAATGTAATGAAACAGTTTTCAATTCTTAGGTGCATTAGATAAAGCAACGGTTATGATTCAACACTAGAAAATGATTTCTAATTAGACAGCTAAACATAAATGCATATTAATTAGACGCTTCGTTTTTTATTTTCCACGAGAAATTAATCCTATCATATTATAACGAACATTGAGATCTATAACAACTATATGCAGGCCTTTAACCTTCTTGTTGTTTCTTCAGCTTTAAAAATTCAAAAATATCCATTCAAATTGTATTAGATTAAGAATTTCATGCATCGAACTTCTTCTCTTTGCTTTCATTGAGTGAACATTTCTCTTCGACGTTCGTTTCATCAAACAGATTTCACTATGAAGTTTTCTTCCGTCACATGATTTATTTTGATTTTGTATCTTTCAATATGGTCACTCGACTTCACCTTCAAATACTCTCGTCTAACATCTTGTCTGCTGGTTTTTGATGCAATGGGCCTCTATCGATTTAGAACTCCAGGGAGTCTATTATCGCGACATTCGATAATCTTTTGATGAGTTACCAGTTACCACGTGAAATGCTTTGGCTGGTGGACATATGCATCATAAAAATTAAAGGAGCGAGGACCATTAATCCTTAGAGTCTGCATACAAATGAATGAAATCACTTCCTGCACGAAGAGGGGAATGCATAAAGTTTACCCTGGTGGATCTCCATAAACGTCACCTTGGAAACTAAAAGAAGAAGAGAAAGAGAAACAATAGAGGCAAAGCAAGGATGATAAGATCGATATTTCTTTTCTTAACCTTCTTGTTTTTTTTTTTCCTCCTAATCTTTCTTCAGAGATAAGTATTTTTAATAAATAATGAGATTTGGAATTGGATCCAAAAATTTTATTCCTTATGTTATTATAGTTGGAAATAAATCAATTTAAAAAAAATAACTGAACGAGCTTGTATGAACTTTAATTAATTCCATATATTTTAAAGTTAATAATTATATAAGTTTTTAGTGATCATAACAAAACTTAAATTCATAATTATTAAAATAAATAAATTTAAGATTAGATAAATTATTTATTAGATTAGCTGATGTATTAATAAGCATGAAATAGACCACGTACAGAGCGGAGACTTATACAAGGCTCAGGTGGGTTGTACCCCAGGTAACAAATAATGTTTTGCCTAATAAAATAAAAAAAAGAAGCACACGTTTGAACAATTGAACCTTTATGAATTTTGAGGTTTTCTAAACACAAAATTATACAAATGAGAGGAGTACAGACAAAAGTAAGGACACAATATTATAATTGCAACCCGTGGAAAATAATTGTTTTTGTATGTAATTAATTGTAAAATATGTTTTGTTTGGGGTGTTTGTGTTTGTGTTTGTGTTTGTGTTTGTGATAGTGGTTGCTTTTTAAATTATTTTTTATTTGAAAATATATCAAAATAATATTCTTTTATTTTAAAAAATTAGTTTTGATATCAATATATCAAAACGATCTAAAAACACCAAACAAATTAATTTAAAGCAAAAAAAAATTATTTTTTTAAAAAATATTTTTTGAAACCTAAAAATAAACTAACTATATATTACTAAAGAATGTTGAAACATGAACAATTTGGGTTAAAAAAATAATAATTGTGATCAATTATGTTTTGTAGGGGATACACACTTATATTAATTAATCATCTCAGGTTGTTTTTCTCAAAATTGACAATCATTATCAATCCTATTAGTATTTCTCCCAAACACCATACCGAGTTACAATATACTTAGGCTATAGAAATTGCACATATGGTAGCCACCGGAGAACATGAGACTGATAGAGTGGCTAACCAAATTGATAATTTACATCGAAGTGGAATTACTTATTGAAACTCTCATTTTAATTTTATTTATAGATTAATAGATATATATGGTGCAACTATTACTGTGCTTGTAAGTATGATTCAAGAAGAATTTTTAACTCTATATATGAAAAAGCTGATGGTTGTTTGATTGTGATAAAATCTTTTGAATTTATATTCATCTTATATTTTATGCATAAAATAATAGGAACTACTGATTTGCTTTGTCGAGTTTTGCAGTAAAAATCTCTTAACATTTTAAATGCAATGGATCTTGTATCAACTACTAAAGCACTGCTTCAAACTTTAAGAGATGTCGGATTTGATCTTCTTTTTATAAATGTGCAATTTGTTTGCACAAAATATAAAATTGACATACCATATATGAATAATTCGTATAAAAAAACTACAGGTCGTTTATATCAATAATAATATTTAGTGACAGTTTACTAGCATTATCATTATGATATATTTAACTTAACAATATATTTTCAGTTGGAAGAATTAAATTCTAGATTTAGGAATAGGGTAGTGAAACATGTTAAAAGTGTGCTTTGCAATAAAATTAAAGGAAGTTCTTAGCAGATTTTTTGATGATTTACATTGAACGAGAGCTTATTAAAGATATTGATTTAGATTTGATCATAAATAAATTATAATCTACAAAACATCAAAAGATGCAACTTTGATATTATAATTTATTTTTATTTTGAATTTTATATACTTTAAATTTTATTTTTTTATATATATTTTATGTTATGTATTTGAATTAAAATTTTATTATTAACCTAACAAATTTATATATCTGAATGAATAATTAATTTTAAAAAATAATTTATATATATTTACATGATAAAAAAAATTTCTGGCTACTCCCTTGCCACGCATGTTCACACCTCCCATCCATGTTTCAACTCGTTTTTAATCGAACGTTTTTTCTTATTAATGTGCTTAGGACCCATCGCTACCACAGAGTAAATATTGTATTCGTTCGAAAATCATACACTCAGCAGGACATGTACGTGTATACACATATAATAGTACATACAACCAACTATTGTTATAAGAAAAATAATAGACAAGTATTTGTCAAATTTCTGCAATGTAAGAAAAGATCCCGTCGGTAACATGTGCTAGCTGTGTCACTGGTTTTGGAGAATTGGACAAAAGACTTCGTCGCCACTGTTTCACATTGCATCTCAAATGGTTCCAGCAAAATCTGAAAAAAAATTTATATATATTTTTAATCATTTTAATGTATCAATATTAAAAATAATTTTTTAAAAATAAAAAATATTATTTTTATATATTTTCAAGTAAAAAAATAATTTTTAAAAAATTACTATGAAAGGAGTTAAATGCTGCACCTACCGAAATTAAAATCCTTCAATCTGAATTTATCTGCGACGACGTACGTCGACCCTTCAATCCTCCCTGCTTTTGTAAATAATAAAAAACAAACTCTCATCTGCTTCTGCCTTTTCTTTTTATAAGGGGAAAAAAAAACGAATTCGCCAGAAACATTTTAATCTCGATGAATTGATCTCTATATCTATCGATTTCACCCCAAATATGAAATCGACTTAGACTCAATTTAGGATATATTATCGATTTCATCCTCATGCGCATGATAGATTCGTCTCAGATCTGAATGGTTTTTGTCAACACACACACACACACACACACACACAAAATGAAAGTACAAAATATGAAAGGGATTTGTACTCAAAATGTTTCGTTCTCGTACTAGTACTAGTTTGCATGCACGAGCATATATAGGTTTGGCATTGATTGAGCTTCTCTAAAAAGCGGATTCTATCATATACGTCCTGCAGCCGTATGATTTTATTTATGTGATGTAATGTGCAAACAAAGAATCCCAAGTAGGCAGCAGTTGAGATCGTGTTAATTCGTTTGCCTTTTCTTTCCCATTTCAGGCAAGGATTTGATCGAATATTTCACATGTAATTTCTTCTGGGGCGTACATACATGCAATTAAAGCAATACTGTTTATTATTTCATCTTATAAAAATAAATCATTTATGGATTATAAAGAATATATAGCTCGGGGAGTTTTAATACTATCAACTGCCCAGTGTACTGCATTAGATAGAAAAATAAATCATGATTGGCTCGGTGGGTCATGTGGAGAGAGAGTGACCGCATGACTATCTGAAGAGGCAAGGAAATAACTGCGGTTCTGTTGTTAATTCAAGATTTCTCTCGAAGACTGCTCACATTTTGAGTGCGTTTTTCACGTTTGAGGTTACATTACTAGTACGTTCAAGGTGGTTTGTACGGATCCACATCGATAATATTTATTATATTACCAGCGCGCCTATATATTCTACCTGTGTTTTTCTAATTCACTTGTCTTCCCCTGATATTTCTCCTAATACTTTCCACGTTATAGTTTATCTCTCTCTTTCTCTCTAGGTTGGTCTGAGATATGGTTAAGTCTCAAAGCTTTGAGAAGGTGGGACTGAAGAAAGGGCCATGGACTCCTGAAGAAGACCAGAAGCTTTTGGCTTACATCGAAGAGCATGGGCATGGAAGCTGGCGAGCCTTGCCTGCCGAAGCTGGTGATTTACACTAACAAACCCTTTATTTACTCCCAATTATTTATTCACTTGGTGCCCTAGTCTTTATTAGACGATAGCTTGATTGTTATCCCTTCATTTTGTTTTTCGGTGTGCGTGTGCGTGTGTGCGTAGGGCTTCGAAGATGCGGGAAGAGCTGTAGACTCAGGTGGACCAACTACCTTCGGCCAGATATCAAGAGAGGAAAGTTTAATTTGCAGGAAGAACAATCAATCATTCAGCTGCATGCTCTTCTTGGAAACAGGTGAGAGGGTAGTTCCTCGCGGTGATACATAGGATCTTGAAATTGACGGTCACACTCTCATGTGGTCTCATGGTTTCCACATTGGTATTATTATTCCTTCGATGATCTTTGGTTTTCGGATTTTGTGTCCGCTCTTAGATCAGGAAAGGCACATGATGGTGTGAATGCGTTGAAAATCATACTCTTAAAATTTAAAAAAAAAATTGTTTAAAATTAATTTATATATATATATATATTAATTTTTTTTATGTTTTAATATAAAAAATAATTTAAAAAATAAAAAAATATTATTTTAATATATTTAGAATATTCTGATATAAAACTATATTCTTCCTATCATACAAAACACTACGTGCCAGGTATAAACTCTAGGTCTTGCAATTAATGGTCGCATTAATTGCATCAGACAAGGACACACATGATTGCTTGTACGTAAAGATGACCGTACGTCTTGTTTTATACAGGTGGTCAGCCATTGCTGCTCACTTGCCGAAAAGAACCGATAACGAGATCAAGAATTACTGGAACACACATCTAAAGAAAAGATTAGATAAAATGGGCATTGATCCTGTGACACACAAGCCAAAAGTTGATTCTTTCGGCTCAGGGAGTGGTCATTCCAATGGTGCTGCCACTTTAAGCCACATGGCTCAATGGGAGAGTGCTCGACTAGAGGCCGAAGCCAGATTTGTTCGTGAGTCAAAGTTAAGTGTACCTATTCCTCCCAAAAAATTACTAGGCTCTGCAGTTTCAGCTCAAGTCTCCAGCAAAGGTGGTGCAGCTCCAACAGCAAGACCACAGTGTCTTGATGTACTCAAAGCATGGCAAGGGGTCGTTTTCAGCATGTTCTCGGTAGGCAGCAGTGGCTCTCTCGAGTCTCCAACATCCACATTGAATTTCTCAGAAAATGCACTAGCCATCCCACTCGTTGGAGTTCGGAAAAATCCAACCACCACACTAGCTTTTGCCACAAATAATGCTACATGCAACAGAGAGGCAACGGCCAGTGAATTTGATAGGGGAAACCAGTTGGAGTGCTTTGAGAAACTGAAAGAAACAGCACAAGTGAAACGAAATTTGGATAGTTCAATGGCAATTCATGATATAAGCCCGTATGCCAGCGATCATAATGCTTGGTTTGTTGACTCTTCAGCGAATGAAAACGCGCCTATGGGGAATATCATTGATGGATCAATCTGTTGGATGCTTCTCCAACTGGGTCATCTGTATTTTGATCATCTAACTATTGCTACTTCTAAAGCCTAATTGTAGGGTTTGACTGAGGGACTCGTAATGGTTAATTTCAATATTGCATCAAGTGTAACATTAGATCTTTATAAATAAAGGTTCTTTAAATGTTCTGTCTGTTAATTTGAAGGCTGCTAGGGTTTGAAACTAAAGTGTGGTCATAAATTACTTGATCAAGGATCTCTTAATTTCGCCAGTTTCTTTGTGGGTTCCAAATTTTGTGATAAAATATTGCATGTTACTGGGGGTAGGATTTTATGTGAAGATTGCGCGGCTGACCATTTCGCTGGTGTGTGCTCGCAGATCGGAGGATGAAATTAGGGAATATAATGGGTGTTATATGCGTAAATTGCTTGATATTTATATTTTATTTATTATTTATTAAGTAAAAAAATTAGATATTTATAAATTATTTATCAATATAAATTCTACTATCTATTATTTGATTATTATTTATTATTTAATATAAAATAGAATAATTATATATATAGGTACATATTAACTGATAAAATGATAAATATTTGTGTTTTATGTAGATATTAAAATTATATTACATTATATTAAAAAACTAAATATTTTACAAATATATTTATATAATATAAATATTTAAGTTAGGTTTGGGCGGGTTTTAGGATTGAATTTGATAATATTTATATTATATCCATTATTATTTATCTAAAAACATTATCCATTTAAATCATGTTAGGATAATTAATATTCAGCATAATATCTATTTGCTTCAGATTAAATTACTCGAATAGCTAGTTTTTGTCTTCCTATTTATACAAACCGAATCAGTGGCTATTAGATAGCTATTTATTACACAAGCTTAGTTAGATATACAGATAGTAATTTCCATATACCAAAGAAGGAAATTGAATATGATGTAGAGAGATTGCTTTAGAAGGATTTACTGCGATATGGAATTTTTTTAAGTAATTAATTAGTCAATTCAATATCATGCTTGTATAAAATTTATGTTGATGCATCACCTATGATTTTTCTTAACCCAATTATCATGATAGAAGGGAAGGAAATGAGTTTCTTGATTTGCCAAAAAAAAGGCTTATTAAAACCTTAGGGAACACATTAAGTATTATTGGAGTGCATTTATTAGACTTTATTTATAATTAAATTATGATAAAAAATATTAAAAACAAACATTATTCGAATAAAAAGCAATGATATTAATTCAATACGTTAGATAATTATTATTTCACATGGTAATGTTTTTAAATATTTATAATTAACTCTAAACAAGAAAAATACATGAGACACCCGAACCCCTAAACCTCTTTTTTTAATTAATCATCTCCCCCAGTTTCTTATGCCTTCCAAATAAAGATAGGATTCAGTTGTCCTTAACTAACGCCATCTTGTATGCCTGCGAAAAAAGAATCCTGGTCGGGGTTTCGAAAAGGCATTAATAAATGGAGGTGTTCGCATCACTTGCGTGTTTAACGTTGTGTTTTGAAAATAGTTTTAATTTTTTTTATTTTAAATTAATATATTTTTAATATTTTTATATCATTTTAATATGCTGGTATTAAAAATAATTTTTTAAAAATTAAAAATTATTATTTTAATATATTTTAAAATAAAAAATACTTTAAAAAACAACCATAACACACTTCCCAAAAAAATCTATCTTCTATCTCTTATCGCTATGTCTCGTTATTCCAGGTAGGAAGCAATAGCGCTTGTGTATCTCAGGCAAATGAATGATACGAGGCAACCCAAGTGACATGATATAGACCATAATTTTAAAATCCGGCCTGAATTGGCAGATCAACATGGAATACGACTGACCTAGAGCTGGAACCGGGCCAGGTTAATGAAAAAACTGGTTAAGTATTTTTCTTGATAAAACCCGGTCGACCCTGATAAACTCGGCTGAGACCCGGCTATGTTTTTTAATACACACACAAGTAATCCCATGACACACACACACACAAGTAATCCCATCCGCAGTATAAAAAAATCAAAGGAATTTAAGTTTAAGGCTAAGCTTTTTACTTGTTTGGCTCTTCAAATCTGCGAATCAAAATAAGATTAAGTTGATGTTATCTCTTTATTTTTTTTGTTTTTTATATGGAAAAGATATTTTACTAACTCACTAAAAGTTATGACATCATCTCTCACCTCTTTTGTTGTTGTCAAATAAAAAATTAAAATTCTAGTTTGAGAAAGAAAATAATAAGGAATAAGTAAGAAAATTATGGGTTTTTTTATTATTGCAAAATCAGGAATTAAGACTGTGCAATTTTACTTTTTACAAGAAAGAAACAGAAATCAAAAAGTAATAAAAGCCAAGTTTGTATAAGAGAGGACCGGAGGGGTATGTTTGTGTCTTTAACTTGCATACCTTTATTGGTCAGAAGTAGCATCAAATGCCAATCTTCTGGTTTTTTATAAGTGAAGTCAGAACACTGTTCTCAATTGTTCTTTTTAATTTCTATGGCTAAATACTTTGCTTTGAATTGATCTCTTCTAAAGAGACCTTTCAAATTTATTCTCATCCTGATCTATCATAAAATTTTTAAAATCAACAAAAATATTACAAAAAAGGGCTCGTAATGGTCTTTGATGTGAGATGTGCTAGGAGATCTTGTATAAGATTGAGGAGATAGGGTTGGTGGATAAGGTATCTTGAATTTAAGAATTCTTGTTTAAAAAACAAAGTAGAAAAGGTGGCATTAGTTTCAAACAAAGAGTAATAATTATGCTAGTATTTGTTTTTGTTGGTTTTAATCGCAAGGACGCATAAGAAAAAGGCCAATTTTTTTAAGTCTTTAATTGTAAAAAAATTAATTTTTTAGATTAATCTAAATTGATCTACTCACATTTAACTCATAATTTAATTATTATACTGGTTCGATCATTGGATTGGGTTTAAAACCTATGACACAGACCAAATGAGAATTGCACGGACCAAGTCATTAATTCATGACCCAAGGTTGTCTTCTTTATCTACACGCATCGTAATATTGTGATTATCATTTTTCCACGCGAGTCAAGTATCCATCTGTAATTTTCTTTTTTCACAAGCCGAGATCAATTAAAACACTGATTAAGTGGGAATCTACACGGAGAAGGGAGCACAAAACAGAGGCTGAGGAAAAACAACAACCGAAAACAGAGCAACAGAAAGGGAAGACATGAGCTAAATAAAAGTGCAGAAACAAAAAGAAAAACCACCGGATAAAGGGAAAGGGCAAACACAGATGACGAGCCATTTGTGGCCACCATTGAATTAACTAAAGGATCTCTCCCTGGACATAGAAGCCGCTTGGTGGACGCTATATTAACAGATATGGTGTCTCAAGGGCAATAACATTTTCCCGTTGCGCTATTAATTAATGATCGCAATAATGTCTGCGTATGCTATCCCATCTAATCTTACTGCCGCCATTCAATGTTTGTACACATACATGTTAAATGCCTTTACCTCTTCAGTACGATCTGCTCGATCTCTTTCTTTGTGTTTTCCGGTGCTAGTGTTTTTGTGGGTTTTTTAAAAACATTTTGGCACTTCACTTTCTATATATTTCCTTCTTTTAATTATTATTTTTGTTTCTTCAAATACAATTACATAATATTTGCAAAATTATCCAGTTCTTCCAGGAATGTATATTGAATGAGATCGTATTTTTTCTGGTAATATTAGCAATTGTTTTAGAAATATTCATGCTTGAAATGATAACAACAACAACAATATTTTCAGCATCTTTCCTTTTCTTTTATGCATACATCACTGTACGTGGTAACAGGTAACAGTTCACCCTATAGCTTGGAAATCTTGGTCAGTTGCAAAGACGTTAGCGTTTTTCAGTGTTGAAGCTGAAGCTGCTGATGATAGTGTGACTTCCGTGGCAGGAGAGGAGTGGTGGAGATTGAGTGGTGTCTGTTTGTAGAAGCTAGGACAAATAAAATGTTGACAGCCTGTTTCGCAAGAGAGGAGGAAGTTTTTAGTCACTTAAGCCAAGAAGTGAATTTCGATATGGTCATTAGCCTGTTCAGCAGCGGGTGGCGAACTTGAGGCATAAATTGGTCATGGAGCAAGAGCACTAAAAAAAAGAGCAGGGTATTATGTTCTTGGTTTTTGATCTGTAAAAATCACATTTTTGCCTGCATTTCGCTACCTCTTCTTAGGCATAAAAAGTGAAAGTTGCATCAGAGAATGATGTTTCCCCTGCACATTTGTTGTAAAATATAAATTTTATCATTGTTCTTTCTTAGAGATATTTTGTTCTTCCTTCTCGAGAAAGGTAACTTCAGAGTACTGTGCAACCTTTTTTTTTTTGCCCTTTCACTGTATCCTTTCGCTTTCGGCAAGAAAGCTAATCTATTTGCATGTCTTCAGATATTTTCCCATACAATGTTATAGATTTTTCTTTTCCATTCTTTTTTAAACATCTCCATCCATAGACAGTAACAGGTTCACTCTCTTTGCAAGTACTGACTAAAAAGTTCCGCTTGTAATTATTTTTTTATTATGGCAATGAAAAGAACAGTCTCTCACTGGGCAATGATTACCTGTAGTCTAAATCGCGTGGGGTGTTTTACTTCAGGAGCTGGTATTTTTCATGCACAAATCACACTTTAGATGACTTTGTTTATTTTTTTAATATAATTCATTTTTATTTTTAAAGTTTTATTTTAAACAATTTGATTTTAATTTAAAGCCAATTATTTCTGACTTCTTAGTCAAATTAAAAGAAAGGAGATGGAAATGAAAAAAAAGAAGACATGAATTGTGTGCCAGAAGTTTTGAAAAAGATAAAATTTGGTTCTTAAACTTAAAGAAAAGATAAATTATACGAATCTTAATATGTTTTCAAATTAATTTTAATATAAAAATTTATATTTATTTTTTAATTCCTGATTAAAAGAAAAAATATTTATTTTAAATGGTTTTGAGAAAAGTTCATATATTAAATGTATTTTACTTTTACAGTTCTTAAAAAACAAATCTCTCAACTTGAAACTCGATTTTTTAGCTACTAACTAAAATCCGAGAAAATTAGCATTTGGGCCCAAATGCAACCAATGGTCTCTTGTTTTAGAGATTTTAAGAGAAAAAAATACCCACTAGCAGCAGTCCGTATAATATCAATTGCGGATTGGTTGTTATCATTTTCTTCTCTAATCACTCGCTTTGTCTTTCAATTTTTGTTTTCGTAGTATGTTTGTTTGGCTATTAATTGCAGGCTTTTTTTGCCACGTTTTTATTCATTGGTTTAAGTAACATGTATTCTCCGAGAGGCAGCAATGCTTAAGGTGCCCAATCTGGCTATGCTCAATGTGTAAGAACTTTCGTTTACGTGCTGTTAGTTCACTGCAAAGTAAAATTGCAGCTTTTCTTTTAAGTAGGCCAGATTATTTTTTTTCACCGTCTTTCGATTTTGATGACACATGAATGAATGACTGAAAATTGCTGTTCTTGGGCAATTTCTTTCGGTGTACGTTAGTGTGTGTTTGTTATTGTGATGAGGTGCTTTTCAAAATTGATTTTCAATTGAAAATAAAATGCATTAAAATGATTTTTTATTTTTATTTTTAAGATCATCACATCAGAACCATTATAAATTACTTCAAAAATCATCAATTTGATGCTTTTGAGGTGAAAAACAATTTGAAAAGCAGAAGCAAACGCAATGCCAAAGCTTGATTAGTTGATAATTATCCATGCTGTGTTCTGGTGTAATTTTTTTTCTTCCTGTGCGAGTGGTCGCGGAGTAAAGGTCTCATTCTTAAATTTGAAATCTCGTCTTCTCGCTATTTGTTTTTCTTTTTTCACAACTGGGAGCTGCTTATTCTATGAGCTTTCCTTTGTAATTCGAGCATGTTGTTTTTTCTTACTGCTTGTTAATTTTGATTGTACGCAAATCAGTAAAATTATTGTAGCTTTTCTTGTAATTTGGACAATCGCTCTTATGAGTATTACTTTTGATTGATTCGGGACATACGTGTCTCATGCTTTGATTGATTCGGGATATACGTGTCGTTTTTTTAATTGAAATCTGGTTAGCTGGGAATGACCTATTCTGGGAGCTCTGTTGGGGGCTCTCAACATTCATTGGCCTCGAGGCATTCATCGATTCTAGGTGGTCCTCAGGAGGCTGATGTTGATGGATACATAGATTATGCTTCAGCCACATCACATTTTGAGGGCAATACAGAGCTGTTTATGGCTCAGCTTCCATGAGTGGTGCTCAACAGGTCTTTTTTACTCCTATTCATGGTCATTTCAGAATCTTTTTTTTTTTCTAATTTAAGGAAATCTATACCCTGACACAATCCTTATAGTTATGGGTTCTGTTTTTCATTAGCTTATTTGCATGTTTTCTAGTAATTAATCAGTAATGTGGGTTGAAATTCTTGCTACTGCATGTATTAAGATAATATCGTAACTTAATGTGAAGTACTTTCTAGTTGCTTCAAATTTCTTAGGATCTAAGATTACATCACACATTGATGTAGGAATTTTTTTTATGCTCTCATGTTTGTGGTCCCTGAAATCTTGAATAGGACAAAATGTTCTGTATCCAAAACTAACTTCATCTAAATAATATATGTTCTTCTTTGTTTGTGCTCCTAAATAGTCTGGCTGTAAGTTTAGTCTGCTGCGTTGTAAATCTACTCAAAATAAAGATAATGACTTGCAGTCTGATATGAAAGCTGAGAAGGACTGCAGTGAGGATCAACCAAAGAATACTTCAGATACCATCAGTCCTGTAGTTACACAAGGTACCGGTATCAAAACTACCATAAAAAGGAAAATAATTAAGAAAGTAATGAAAAGAAAGCTCAATGGTTCAGGAGGAGCCAGTGGTGGGACCGGCCCCAGTTGCAGAGAAGCAAGCTAGGTGTGCCTAATTCAGGCGAGATGAAGGATCTCATGGAGGATAAGAAGGATGAAAAGGAAATTGACCAGAAAAGCAGCTCAGGGACTAAAACTGAAGTTAAGGCTGATAAGCAAAAGGTTGCCCTGAAGGATAACGCTAATAGTAAGGGAGGAAAGTTGAAGGGTTATGGAAGATTGAAGGAAGATAACAAGGAAAAAGGTGAAAAAGATGAGTCCTGGAACAAATCAAATAAAGAAGGAAAGGAAAAGAGGAAGCCTGAAGAACCTCCTAGACGCCCTGGACTTATTTTGAAAACAAAAGGCAACAAGGAAGGAAAAATAGGTTTTGATTATTGCTTGGCACATATTTATGCTACTACCTGCTACATTAATTGCAAGTGTTGTCCAAAAAAAAGACCAATAATATGAAACACTTTGCCTTCACTTAATATTATTGCCTAATGATACATTCTGTGCCACAGCTGTGCTCTTTATCACTTTCCCTGGACGCACTTTTGGATTACACTGGTAAGGATGTTGAGGAATCAATATTTGAGGTTTGCCTTGATAACACCGTGTTATATTTTTCCTTTGTGTATGCCTAAATTCAATGGAACTCTTTATGTGCTTAGAGTAATGTAACTGTTGTTCTACTACTTTTGCAGCTCTCACTGTTTGCTGAATCACTATATGAGATGCTTCAGTATCAAATGGGATCTCGTCTTTTGATGTTTCTCCAGGTTGGTTCACAATGGTTACTCCATCTACATGAATGTTACTTGATTCAGTTGCCAAGGCATTTTCCAGTGTTCCTCTATTATATGCAGAAGCTACAAATAAAATTCGTAAGAAAAAGAAATCAATGCAAGAGGCAGTGGGGGGCCATGGATGTGAAGGACGACAAGAAATCATTAGGAAGGCGCCTGAAGACTAGTGAGCTCTACCTCTGAAAGCTAAATCTGCTAACAGTGAAATGTCAAGTGCAGATCAGCCGGATGACGAAAAAACTGTCATGGAGGAGGATACTTCTGTTGATCCTATTAATAAGCCGAAGCAGGAAGAAGAAAGTGAAGCTGAGGAAGACCCAGAGGAAGATCCTGAAGAATGTGAAGAAATGGAGGATCCTGAAGAATATGAACAAATGGATGGCCCTGGGCATGACTCATCTAACGAGGCAAGAATTTTTCTTTATAATTTCAGACAAGCTCTCTCATGCAAAATAGTCGCATATCAAGTTGGGGAAGTCTAAGATGGATTGCATGTTAAAAGTTTTCAGTTCAAGTTTGATAATTTATTATAATATTGGTTTTCCTGTAAAAACATTGAGATTCAGTACGGCATCCTGTATAAGTTGTTTTATTGGGTGAAATGCTAAACAGAAATGATGAGAGGAGGATCAGTGGGGATGCTGAGCATGAACCTCGGGCTGGTGATGAAAGAGACAAAGACAGAGGAAGCAATTGAGGACAAAACTGACTTGAAAGATTCAGGTACAAAACCCAAGTCTGTTGCAGATTTGTCTGGAAAAAAAAGATGACAAGGTGGAGACAGAAGAAAGAGCTGTCTGGGAAGGAGGCTGTGATTGATAAGGAATTATTGGAGGTATGTTCTCAGAAACTTAATTCCCTTTTCTTTGTCTGCAATTTGAGAATGTCAGGATTGTTCTTTCATCTACCCACTATCAATATTTCTTTTTTGGGACAGGCTTTCAGGTGTTTTGACTGGAATCAAACTGGCTAAATCAGGGTAAGACTAAAATTCCTAATTTTGCTCTTTGTCAGCGTCTGGGGGTGTTGAGGATTAACTGCTGCCTATTCAAGTCGAAGACATGAGGTTGATTATACACAGCTTGGGGACATTTTTTCCTACACGGAAATCAAGGTGAGAACTGTGCTTCTGTATCCTCTCAGCTTCACCCATAAGGGTTGCACTCGTACAAATGTGCTGTTTCTAGTTTCCAATGGTTTTTTGCATCAGGAACTTGTGCAAAGTGCTTTGTTGGAGAGCAACACTGGGAGGGATGACTGCATTCTCTATAATAAGCTGGTCAGAATGAATCATTTGATATTATAGGTTTTCAGGTTGCCCTGGTCTGTACTGCAGTCACCCTGCTGTTACAATGCACCTTTGCTCCTTCGAGAGTGCATGTAACTGTATTAGTTTTGAGGTCACCATATCTTACTGTCAACAGAAATTATTTATAACTTTACTTTTGTAATGGGGGAAAAATAGATTACATTATTTCTTGGTAATGAAAAAGAAAATGGCAGGTATTGATGATAATGAAGTATTTTCATATGCCTAATTTGGAGTTATGCTCAAATCCCCTGTTCCAAGAGTGGCGAATTAATCCACTCCTCGTCCAAGGAGTTTTTGGGGAAAAAAAGAAAAAAAATTTCTCTGCTAGTCCGTCACAAATTGCTTCTAGGGGTCGATATGGCTTTGGTGCTGTCAGATTGCGGGAAAAAACTGAGTTCTGCAGTCTGCCCATGATTTTCCCAGTGAACTCTAAATTTAATTTGGATGTTGCCATGCAGATGGGCACGCACTTAACTAAAATGCTCAATAGTACTTTTTCGGAGTTTTAACTGGTATTGTAAGAGAAGTGCTTCCTTGTTATTTATGAATGGTGGCACAAACTAATTTTTGGACTGAGCCAGAAAACAAAAGCTACAGATCATGTCAATATGGCACAAAACAAAGTAAAAAATGACCTTGCAATAGTTTAAAAAAGAAGAGAAAAACAGAGACCAAAAAGAAAACGAAAAAGGAAAAAGAAAAAACTTGGCATCGCTACTAGCTTAATAGCCTATGTTCAAGCATCATGAATGCCAAAGTCAAGGAGGGACCTTAAGGCTTGTTGTTTCTTGACCACCTTTCCATGTACTCCTCTTCCCAACTTGAGTGCTTTCTCCATATCCACCAAGCTAACGCCGTTTCGTTTAAATGCTTGCATAAAAACCTTCAGTACTCTCTCATCACATCCCACAGCTTCTGCAACACTATCCACTACTATATCGACAGCCGGAATTCGTCTTCCCCACCTCGTCACAGATTTCTCAGAGCCATAAGCTTCAAAATATGCAGCCCAAAATGATGCCCTCATATAGCCTTTCCCCCTCCCTCTCACCATCCATCTTTTCATACCTTCCTCAAGCCTAAAAATTGCACTGCCCACATCAATCCCTCTTTCAAGTCCTATCTCTATTTCCTTCATCTCTTGCTTAGAACACATTTCTTCTTCAAATTTGCACCTCTTGCAACTGCAATGAAAACCCCATGTCTTTGACATTTCGTCTCGCTTGCTTAATGGAGAAAGCACGTCAAAATATGCAAATGTGATTTCTTCACCCGCCTTAACATCCCTGGAAGCATGAACTAGCACATGATCCCCAACATGCAAGCGTCTAGCATTAGGATTACATGAATGGTTAATGAATGAAGCCAGAACCCATAATCCAACACCATAATAATCACTATTCCTCCCTAAGACTTTAGCTGAAACTGAATCCTCAACAAGAGAATTCACATCCAATACGTTCAAAATTTTAACCTTATCAAGCTTCTCATTTAACTCTCCAATCTCCTCTGCCTCAGGCCTAAATAGACTCATTTCAGGAGCCTCAAGCTTATCCTCATCTTCACCACTTGACAATGTGCTAATCAAATGGTGAGTTCTTTCACACTTGGTAGCTGAATCTACAACTTTATCAACAAAATTCTTCCACATGACCAACCGTGCATTCTCACCAGAATCTTCACTTGATAATATACCTCTCTCTGTGGCAATTGCTTTAGTCACTAACAGCAAAGTCCCTGCATCAATGTTCTTTGTTGCAAACAGGCCTCTTCCACTGAGCTCAGACCTCTTAATCTGCACTGGACCAGTGTACTCAGCAAGCTCTGGAGATTTGCCACGAAACCCACTTAGGATCCAATCAGAGAGATCAAAAGCTCCAGTCCTCGATTGAAATTCCAGTTTCTTGCATTTCTGCACGTACCCATTCAGAGTTTCAAGGTTTCCACTAGCCTGTGGATCAAGAACAGCAGTTTTGAAGCAATCCAAGGCCATTGAGTACCTGTTCAAACTAAGCAAGATTTTGCCTTTGCAAACAAGGGACTTGAAATGTGTACTCTCAATTTTCAATGCTTGATCACAATCTTTGAGCGCTCCCGTGAGATCTCTAAGCCTGGAAAGTGCTTCAGCACGGTTTGACAGGGCTAAGCAGAGGGATTTTTGAAGCTTGGTGAGGAGGTCTGGGTCTGGGTGATTTTGATGTGACTTGACAGAGATCTGGTCTTGACAGAGATTGATGAACTGGGTGTAGACTTGAACGGATTCTTGCCATTCTTCTCTGAGAAGAAGCTCAGTGGCTTTGAATCTGAGCTCTTGCATCAACTCTTCTGGTGTTAATGGCTGTTGCAGTTGGTCGTCTTCTCTCATTTTTTTTGGCAGTGGTGGCCAGTGGGGTATCTCTTGTGTTGTGACTGGTTTGTTCTCTGCGGATTTGAAATTGGGGGCTTCTAACGGTCACATCCTGTAACGCAACAGCTAGATATGATAAATGGGTCAAATATCAATCAATAATTTTTTTTAAAAGGATAAAGTTAAGTTTGGAATGTTGTCGTCAAAAAAAGAGATTGCATGTGGCAAGCCACCGTGAGCCTGTTTATTTTTTCAGAAAAAAATTGAAATTTATATTTGAAATTATTTTTTAATTATTTTAATTTTATAATATTAAAAATAAATTTTAAAATATAAAAAATAATACTTCAATACATTTTGTTTTAAAAAAATACTTTTTAAAAAAAAAACACTGTCGTCTTATAACATGACCAGTTAATTTGTACAAGGATTGAGCTTGACTCGGATACTAATACCTATGTTGGGTCAGCTCGACCTGAATTGTGGGCTTTCAGGTAAAAAAAATAATTAAAAAACTTTTTCTTGAGGGGGCACGACCACCAAATTTTGAAAAAATCAATAAAGTCCCTTAAGTTTATACATATTTTCAAGCTAGTCCCTCGGAGATTATTACCATGTCCCTCCAAAAATTTTCAAAACATCTTTTAATACTTGCGAAGTCTCGTGATAATTCTAATTTAGCTTCCACAACAATTTACTTTCTCCGCCACTGTCTCTAGTTTGAACCTCTTTAATAATAATAAAACAAAAGGCGCATCCATAAAGGTTTGTTTTCTCCAAGGACAATCTGGAATGGCAAGAAAAACTTCGAAAGGGCTAAAGTGAGATTGACTGACCTTTTGTAATAAGTTGCGAACATGGTGATGACACTGGTGAAATGGGCTTCAACCCGAGGAATCCATGCTAGCTCCCTTGTTGTTCTCTTGGCAGCCATAACAACACCATACCAATAAAGCCCAGAGATAAGAAAATTACCGGCAATCGTGGGGCTTGATCTTGAGACAATAGAGTTGATGTTAAGAGAGGTGAAAGAAGCCGGTAAAATAACTCATGCCGAGTTTTGCTTCCAGGGAAGAGACCCGTCGCATGCTTGAACTGCAAAAATGTATCAATTCCAGCTTGAGAAGTAAAGGGCACCATGGGAGGTCGCAGGAGCTGCAATAACAACATACCTTAGCATAAGGCTAGTGCCAGGGATATTGCAAATATTTCATGTCACTGGATTTTGTCCCACATGTTCTGATGAAATCCATCAGCTCATGCATGTAGTGAATATGATCTAAATACTCCTAGCAATCTTTGACCATCATGTTATTAACGAAATCATTGTACTTGAAACCTCTCTTTTTGGAAGAGAAATCAAGCTTAAATGCAAGATTGCTTGTGATTAGAACAAAATATGAAAACTTTTGAAAACAGAAGAAAATCTGGACATGAGAGAAGAGGCATTGCAATCACAGTCAGATAGAGAGGAGCCTCGTGTTATACCACCCACGTTAACCAACAAGATTCCATTCCGTACTCAATCGACAACATTGCTTAACGTTTTCACTATCTTCAGAAATTATGTATAATACGAGGACCAAGGTGCAAAAAGAAAACAATCTCTAGAGATGTTTGATTTTCATGCTCCCTCCCAAAACCCACAACTCTTTCTTTCTAGGGTTTTGTAGAGAGAATGGAAGAATCAACTCTATCATTAGTAAGCAATCTAGAAATTCTAGACACACTCAGCGCTGATTCAGTTCAAGAAATTGTTGGCAGCTACGGCAGTTTCTGTTCCGCCACCCTATCTCTTCTCCACGGAGGCGACGCCTCCGATCTCTTCTCCCACGTTCAAATCCTCTGCAAGCACGGCCTCCTTTCTCTCGTTCGCGATTTCTTTCTCAAGTCGCTAGAGGTATCGTATATAAATGCTTCTCTTACGGAACGCTTTAAGCATTTGCAATTTAATGTGTTTTTTTTTTTTCATGACAGGAAGCTTTCGAGAGAAACCTAGCGTCAAAATTTTGGCGGCATTTTGATTGTTATAGCATTGTAGGAGCTAATTATGAAACTGAGTTGCAGCAAGTTTTGTGCAGAGCACTTGAAGAGATTTCGTTAGAGAAACAGTATCAGGAGAAGTGTTTGTTACTGTTAGTTCGTGCTTTATTACTGGAAGGAAAAACTGATTCTGATGTCGAAAGAGAATATCTTTTTTCCAAGTATCAATTGATGGTTTCTTCAGTTCTAATGGCTACTCTTCCTCGCCATTTTCCTGGTATGCGTGCCTCGTAATTAGTATGCTTTTCGTTGTTGGTGATTTATGTGCGGCTAAAGATGTTTTGATAGTAAGGTTAATTTGTAGTGCTGTTTCCGTGATTTATAATGTTCTTAGAACTACTACACTGGTATTTTAAGGGAAGGCTGGAGGAGCTGAGTACAATAATGGATGGAGAGTTTAATGTTGGTGGTGATGACGCTTCTCAAGATAAAGATGACATGGATTTAGATGAGATGGGGAAAATGTTACATAGGAATGGTGCGATGGATATTGATGAAAGCTGCCTACAAGGGAAATTTACAGAGAACAACAATTTCGTGAAGAATATTGGAAAAGTTGTACGTGACCTCAGAAGTCTTGGATTCACATCTATGACTGAAGATGCCTATGCTTCTGCCATCTTTTTGCTTCTGAAGGTGAGCCCGTGATTTGCCATGCAATCAATTCTTGGCCAAATTCATTTGCTTCCACTCTGACTTTCTGTTGTTTTACCATATTTTATCTGACAACCTTATAATTAGTACACACTCGCATGTGCACACACAAATAAGATCAACTTATTTTAAGTTAGTCTGCATCATTTATCTTCTGAATTATGTATCCCCATTATTTGTAACAACATATTTCCTATTTGGATGGCAGGCTAAAGTACATGATCTGGCCGGTGACGATTATAGGGCTTCAGTTTTGGGCTCCATTAATGAGTGGATCAAGGTCGTTACCTGTGTTTATCAGCGTGTACATTTCTTCCACCTCATACAATTGCTGCATCATAGATATTTGTACTATTGACTCGTTTATTCTCCTGTAACACCATCCATGTGCTGCACTAAATTGACAAACTGCATTTGTCAAGTTACATGAGGAATGCACAGGGAATGTCATGCATCAGATGCATGATCATGTATTGCACTATAAAGACAAGCTATTTTAAATGGTAATGCACTGCAAAGAGCAGCTATAGCAAATCTTACTGTCATTCCGTTTGAATGCGATACTCAGAACCTGCAAGCATTAAAAATGCTCATCATGCCATTTCACACATTATTTTTATTGTATTTTTATTTTTATTTTTATTTTATGCCTTCCTTTTCTTATCTGTATATTCTTGTATTTCTATAATATTGATTGACGATTCCTTGGGTAATAATTACAGGATGTGCCTCTTCAATTCTTGCATGCACTCCTTGCTTATCTTGGTGAGACTACTAGCTATTATAGCCCTTCACCAGGTCTCAGGTCACCTCTTGCTTCTCACCCTTCAGCTTGTTATCCTGCAATTAATTCTCCCTCTGAAGGACTTGTTAGATGGCATTTGCGACTAGAGTATTTTGCTTATGAAACATTGCAAGATTTGAGGATTTCCAAACTATTTGAGATTATTGTTGACTATCCTGATAGGTAAGTTTTTTTGTATTCTTAATCTCATATTCCTCAACAGATTCTTCTTAACCTCACTTTCCTCTACAGATTCCTATACATAAGGCAGCAATGACAGCTACTGTTATCTGATGTTTTATCTCTATAATTTTGCCTTAATCTAAACAATGATTATGAGATTCCTGTGTAACAAACAGAATATGGTGGGGGTTGGTGTCTACAGTCTCACATAATGAATCCAGAATGCTGTGTGGTTGCTCACATTTGTGATTATGCATTAAAACTAGCACTTTTTACTGGGCATAGTCTCACCTTAAAAAAAACTTGGTCATGGTGTCGTGTTAGAAAGTGTTTTTGAAATTTCACCAATTACTGTTTAAATTTATAAGTAAATAGATTTGGTAAACTGGCACTGTTGGTGATTCATCAACTCTCCCCCCCCCCCCCCCCCCTCCATATTATTCATAGATATTCATAACCAATATATTAGTATAGCATGAGAAGTCTTGGATCCCATTTTGATGGGGACATGCATTGGTGAAATTGGATCTTGTGAATGATTTCTATGTATTTTTTTCTTGAAAACATGTGTTGAAACTGGAAACCATATCAATCCAATTTTTGTTGCTATTCCTTTCCTCTTTGCTTTTAGGATCTGAATCCTGCTTGTCTTTTGATGCTACAAGTACTTGATAATGTTAATGTAAGATGCTGTTGGGAAAATACTTATCTTTCCTAATTATTTAATGACCTTCGCAGCTCTCCTGCAATCGAAGACTTGAAGCAGTGCCTTGACTATACTGGACAGCATTCTAAACTTGTGGAGTCTTTTATTTCTGCATTGAGATATCGCTTGCTCACTGCAGGTGCCTCAACCAATGATATATTGCATCAGTATGTTTCGACTATTAAAGCACTGCGGACAATTGACCCGGCTGGTGTCTTTCTTGAAGCTGTTGGTGAACCAATAAAAGACTATTTAAGGGGTAGAAAAGATACAATAAAATGCATTGTCACCATGCTTACTGATGGGACTGGTGGGAATCCAAATGGATCTGGAATTACTGGTGATAGTCTTCTTGAAGAATTAAATAGGGATGAGGAAAGTCAGGAGAATGTTGGTGCTGATGATGATTTCAACACAGATGACAAGCAGGCATGGGTCAATGCTGCAAGGTATGCAAAAGTTGTAATTTGGAAATGGAGTGTGCTTTGTATACTTAGCTGATTAGTATATATTCTTCAACTACTTGTAGAGCTAACATGTTGCTCTACTTGACTTTTGCCCATTCAGCTGGGTGCCTGATCCTGTCGAGGCTGATCCATTGAAGGGCAGCAGGAATCAAAGGAAGGTTGACATACTAGGGATGATTGTCGGCATAATTGGTTCAAAAGACCAACTTGTCAATGAATACCGTGTTATGCTGGCTGAAAAGCTTCTCAACAAATCTGATTATGATATTGACTCAGAAATACGTACTTTAGAACTCCTCAAGGTAGGTTCTCCACATACCACTGTGATCTTTGTTTTAATTAGATTTACCAAGTGGGGCATGTTCATTTGTGTTTAATTGTATATAAAATGCTCCAGCCTTTTAATTTATTTTATCTTGGCATGTTCCAGATACATTTTGGAGAGAGCAGCATGCAAAGGTGTGAAATTATGCTTAACGATCTTATTGATTCCAAGAGGACAAACCACAATATTAAAGCAACAATTAAGTCAGATCAAACAGGTAACCATAAAAAATTAGAAGATTTTAAGTGCACCAGATAGCTCTTGGCTACTCTTGCAGATGAATTATGATTAGCATTTGAATTTTTGTTGATGAATTTCCTTATGGTGAATGAATTCTTAGGTTCAGAACCAGCAGAAACAGGGGCTTCTATGGATATCCTTAATGCTACAATCCTATCTTCAAATTTTTGGCCTCCAATCCAGGTACCAAGGAAAACATTTTGTTGGTCTGTTTCTGTTATTGAGATGCATTTTCAATTTTTTAAAAGGTACCGAGGAAGTGGCGGCTCATAGTGATATATTAAGACGTGCTTTTTGATGAAACTTTGGAGGGCTTATGTAAAAGCCATCTTCTATTGTGCTCAATGTTATTCTAGGCAGGGCCATGTGCTGTGTCTTTCACTTTCTGAAGTTAATTGTAGCTGAAAACAACTAATCCATATGAGGACCTTGGTTGCTTTAGATTTTTCCATTTGGTGTCAGCTTTAATAAAACATTCTGCATGATTCCTGCAAGCACATTGAATTATTGTGTTATTAAGTGCGGATATTCTAATTTTCTTTTGTGACTTAAATATACCTCCGGAATTTGGCGCCATATTCCTCCGTTTTTGAAAAAAAACAGGAACATTCTCGAATTCCTTTCCACTGTCAGAAATTGACAAGCTTGACATGATCACATGTCATGTATTATGTTTTTGTTCATCACATGCTTTTCTTTCAAGGCCACTCTTTTCATTACAAGTATATTTTGACAAGCAACAAATCTTGTTGCACTTGATTTCAGGATGAGGCTCTTAATGTACCTGAGCCTGTAAACCAGCTACTCACTGATTATGCAAAAAGATTCCATGAAATCAAGACTCCTCGTAAGCTACTCTGGAAGAAAAATCTTGGTACAGTCAAGGTTAGGTGCTTCAAAATCTCCATCCAGTTCTCTATTTTCTTGCATCACATGATATATTACAATGCTTTATTTCATTTCATTTTTTTTGGTCTTGGGAGTTGCTTTTTTAGTTGGAGTTGCAATTTGAAGATAGAACAATGCAGTTAAGTGTGGCTCCCATACACGCTGCAATTATCATGCAATTTCAAGACCAAACAAGGTAAGCTCAGGAATCATTTCCATTGCAAGACTGGATGTGTATCTCATTGATTGTGTAAAAGTGTGCTTGTTTCTACTTCAGTTGGACCTCAAGTAGGCTTGCTACTGTTATTGGAGTACCTGTGGATGTGTTGAATCGGAGGATAAATTTTTGGATAAGCAAGGTATATTTGAATTCTTGATGTTCAGTCACTTCTTGAGATTGATAAAATGCCTACTCACAGTTTTAACAAATAAGATGATTGTCATGTTGACTGAGCAAGTTTGGCTGAAAGCTCTCTATATGGTTTGGATTGGCAATGTTCAGTCACTTCTTGAAATTGATAAAATTCCTGCTCACAGTTTTAACAAATACGATGATTGTCATGTTGACTGAGCAAGTTTGGCTGAAAGTTCTCTTTATGGTTTGGATTGGCAATATTCAGTCACTTCTTGAGATTGATATAATGCCTGCTCGCAGTTTTAACAAGTACGATGATTGTCATGTTGACTGAACAAGTTTGGCTGAAAGTTCTCTGTATGGTTTGGATTGGCTTTTTATCAAGTATTTCATGGGCTACAAGTTAGGAGTTTGACTGGTAGTTTTCACCTCGCTTCTATACGCAGGGAATTCTTACAGAATCACTGGGCAAAGATTTGAATGATCATGTATTTACCCTAGTGGAAGGCATTGTCGATGCTGGCCAAAACAGTGGCAATACTGGTAGTTGTGAGGAGTTGTTAGGAGGTGATGAGGAGGGAGAGAGATCTGTAGCCTCTGTCGAGGACCAGATACGCAAGGAAATGACCATCTACGAGGTTTGTGACATGAATATTCTAGATATCAGATAGTTTTCACCTTTTCAATGAATGCTTAATGCTTGAAACCAGTGTCAAGTGTAATGAAATTCAGTGATTTGTTCTCAGTTGAACTCAGCTCTTAAAGAGCCTGCTGTTAAGGACATGGTCTTTCCCCCGTGGATTCGGGTTGGAGGTCTCATTTCCCCTAAGATTAGGAAGAATATATCTACATTCCTTCTCATCCTAACTGCAGTTTATCATTTCAGACACATTTTTAATTGTCATAAACTAGTTCAACTGTAAAATTGAATTTAGTGTAGCTGCTTCCGTGCCTGCTTGTCCCTAGTCTAGACAGGTTAAATGTCTTAATGAGCTGTTGCTTCTGCTGTATTTAAACTTCGATGAAGATGTCATTTTTGGTGGGGCGGGGGGTGGGGCTGAGTATTCATATCTGGATAACAGCTTCCCAAGTAAAATTACTGGAAATTAAATGAAAATTAGATGTAGTTGTGCACATTAAATTGTGCTCAAATTTTTTTGAAGTATCATTATTCTCTAACTTTCTTAAGTTGGTGTCTTGTAGAAGTTTATAATGGGCATGCTCACCAATTTCGGCAGCATGGCATTGGATCGCATTCACAATACTCTCAAGGTGAGAATGGTTTAAAATTTTAAACATGCCCCATTACTTTCGTTGGATATATTTGAACCAAATCACTCCAAACATCATGTTGCTCCAGATGTTCTGCGTAGCTGATCCTCCTTACGACAAGTCTCTCCAGCAATTGCAAAGCTTTTTATCAGGTCTAGTTTCTGAAGAGAAGTTAGAACTTAGAGATGGGATGTACTTCTTGAAGAAGTAAAAGCTGGCATTCTTGTAATTCACCCCTTGAAATAGTAAGCAGTGAGATTCTCTCTCAAAACATTGCTGTAGACCGTGCGCAATGTTTTGCATTATAATATAGCGTAGTCACTCTTTTGTAATACTATGCTATCTGTTACAAACTTGGTGCTGATAGTCACTGGTTTCATGTGGGGCTTTTGAAAAGTGTACAGGAAGATATTGATATGGCTTATCAGAGGGAGGTTTGGAACAGCAAATGCAGCTTTATGAAGATGGAGATCTCTGTAGCAGGACTGTCTCCCTTGCAATTATCAGCAATCCCAACTGTCGTCTTGAATCATATCCAACTCCCGTTATGCCAAGTACTCCTGCTATGCACGTCGGGTGATTTCTAGGAGCTTTCCATACATTGATTACAGGACAGTAAACAAAAGGAGTTGCAGTTTCCCAACAAAATTTATAAGGGTGTCCTTTTGTGGCTTCCTTTATTAATTAAAACATTGACCCCGCGCTGTCACTGTTAATTAATTAAATATGTGTCGTATGTGGTTGAAAACATTGATCGACCCAGCAGGAAGAGGTGGATTCCGAAAGACCATCTTAAAATTTGAATGGTGGAAAACGAGCAAGTAAAGTAGACATTGAATGAAGATGTCTTGATCATGATGGTCTTTGACAAAAAAAAACCATAACAATTCCACACGCTCAGCTCCATTGACAAAAAAAACCATAACAATTCCACACGCTCACGCTGTATTGTCATAACAATTATATGCATTACATGATAAATCAGTTGAGCCCTTGAATTGCTCCAACCCATCTCAAAACTTAACTAAACTTCTTGGTTGATTCTTGTAATATGAAAAGTCAACATGCTTTGTAATAGTAATGGTGATGGTGTGATGGCTACGCTCGCCTGTACAGATAATCATAGAAACTCTCAAATTTAAGGGTTTGTTTAGTTTGCACGAAATATTTTACAAATAAAAAACATCTTATATTTAAAATATTTTCCATCTAAAATATATTTTAATGTTTGGTTTGAAAAATATTTTCTAATAAAATATTTTATATTTAAAATATTTTTCAGTTGTGGTGAAGAGATGACAATGATAATAAAATGATAATGAGAATAAAAATAGTGGTGATGAAATGAAGATGGAGAAAAAGAACGTTGTGGTGAGATAATGATAATAATTGAAATGGATGAATAATATTGTAGGTGAATTGCTATTTATAAGTTATTTTATGAAATATATATCATGAGTTAAAAATATTTTTTGGTGAATGATTTAAGTTTGAAAATTAACAGTAAAATATATTATTCTTGACTGATTTTCCATTAGGATATTTTATAAAAATAAACACAAGATATTTTGATAAATAAATACAAGATAATTTAAAAAATATTTTACTATACCGTAGACTCGTCAAATTTTAGGCCGTGCCACGTCAATGTTCTCAATAAGTTTAAAATGGTGTCCGAAACGTAATAGACAAACAGTACGAGACGAGACGAGATCGATTTGTGCTTGTTAGGTATATAAAACATAACTTTGTCTCTGTTTTGTATGGTTGTAGAGCAAGAAATAAAATTAAAATGTAGATAATATCTAGTTTTTCTTTGTACATAATCTTGTAGTATATGAATTAAAAAAAATTATTTAATTTTCTCTATATTGTATATATTTTATATGTTTTTACATGTCCTAATATATTTTCATTGAATTTAATAATCCAAAAAATACACAAATACATTTATACTTTGTTTTTATTATTTATTCCCTTTCAATATTAATTTAATAATATGATGGTATGGGAATAAAATAACATAAAAAAATGGCCATGTTTTATTATATACATAATATAAATAAGACAAAGTTTAAAAAAAAAAACTCAAAGTAATAATATAAAAAAGAAACCTAGGCTTGAAGGTAATAGCTTGTTTAAAAGTGTAATTTTGGTTTTTTTTTTAATATTTTTCATTTAAAAAATACTAAAATAATATTTTTGATATTCAAACATCAAAATAATCTAAAAATATTAATTTAAAATAAAAAATAAAAAATTTTAAACTTTTTTAAAAATATTTTCCAAATATAAAAACAAACCAACCTTATAATTAGAAATGCTCAAGCTTTGTACAGGTGTACTTGGACTCAAATCCATGCTCATTTTATTTATTTTTATACTTGGACTAGAGTTTATGCTCATTTATTTATTTATTTTTCAAAAAAATCACCGTCTTCTCTAGTGTTTATAGAACTTTGGACAAGTTTGTGGGTTTCGACAAGGCAGAGATTATAATGTTAAAAAAAACTTGTGATTTTCTTTATGTTTTCCTCCGCCTACACATTAAAACAATCTTGAAGTATCGTAAAGACAAATCTAAGCACATATATCATTTATAAACAATAAATCAATATAAAAATTAAATCTAACTATTTAAATTCTAAACATTCAAATTAGTATATCTGAAATAATTCAATTTTAATATTTATAAATTTTTATAGCGGGATTTCTTTAATGAGAACTCTCTCTCTTCTTTTTCTCTCCCCCAATTTTGTGCCCACGTGTTCCCCCAAAAAAAAGGTGAAAAAGATGCTTCTTTTACCCCGAGCCGCCCATCCCAGTATCGAATGAATGTAGCTGGTCTGGTTTTAGTACTTATCTAACTTAATTTATGATATTTTATAAATTATAAACTTGATTGATTTATTTATTTAACTTAAGTGAGTTGGATATACAGCTTAAACTAAATTTTTGTATAGATACTTAAAGGTTAGATTTATATTACTAATTTTATATGTCTGTATTTAAAAATAAATTTATAAATAGGTTGTAGATACCATGATATCTTTGATATTAGATATATTTTTATTACCTTGTATCCAGGGGGAGAGTAAGAAAAAAAAAGAAGTTAGAGGGGCTAACTTAAAACAAATATTTTTAAAAAGTTAAAATTTCAATTATTTTGGGAAAAATTTTCTTATAGGGCCCCGGTCCTCGTCAGCCCTCTCTCCCTTCGTCACTACTTGTATCCTTATTACATCATAGTTATCTTTCTCAGCGAAGAAATAAGCTATTTTTTATTATATTAACTAAATATAATAAGAAGTTTATTAAAAAAATATTAGAACAAAAATATTTATAAATAAAATAAAAATAAATACTCTAATCAAATATAAAAACAAAAAATATATAGAAGATATATGACTTGATCCATTTTAAAAAATCTGACTTTTTTTTTTTTTTTTAACATCCCTAGCTACATGTAAACTTAAAACTATATTGAAAACCCTTTGTTCGATTACGAGTCTATTTTGTATACAAACAACTTAAAACTTTTTATTCATAATCGATGGCGGATTTCCCCACTCACTCACGTGTAACCCAAGAAATTTACCCCTTGCGTGTGAGTCTCTCGTCCACATCAAACACTACTTTAACCATTGAGTAGAATAATGAGAGCTCAACCAACCATTAACTATAGATACCACACTCGTTCCAATTGAACCATCAACTTTGAAGTCATTTGCTAGCCCAGGAAATGAGGTACAATCTTCCTACTCATATGTCAACACGTTAATGAATACCACTTTAAGACATGACATGACCCGTGATAGATCATGCTCTACCTGAGGCTACATGAGAGCGTTACTCTGGCCTTGTTCGTCACCAGAAATTTGTTAAGTATAAAGGCGCCGGCAGAATTATTTTTTTTTGGTGGTAGATTACCGTTAATTTTACTGACGAATTAGTTCTGTATGTGAGCCTGTCGGTAAAATATAAACTGTTTGAGTGAAAGCAGTTTTAAATTCACAATAGAAGATATGAGGAAGTAAGGAAGATTTCCAAAACATATCAGAGGCGGAGGTGGCCCAGCAACCCAGTCTTTTGCCATGAGTCTGTAGAGTTGGAACTGCCATGGGTTGGGGCACCCTAGCGCAGTTCAATTTTTATGCAAGCTGCTTAAGCTTGAAAACCCCGAAATTGTATTTTCATCGGAGACAAAACATAAGAACAAAGAATTTGAAGGAGTTGAAAGAGAAGACTTCTTATCTCAGTAGCCTATGTGTAGATTGTGGAGGAGAGGGTAATGGTAGAAAAGGTCGTTGGTTTAATTACGCTGTGAACAGAAGAATGGGATCTTCAGCTCAGAGCCATGTCTTATCATTGTATTGATGTGAATGTGCAGCAACTAGGTGCTAGCTAATTCACCTTGGAGGTTAACAGGTGTTCATAGGCATTCTGAGGAAATAAATTAGCAGAAGACTTGGACACTGTTGAGGCAACTCCGAAAACAATCGAATCTGCCATGGCTGGTGTTAGGTTATCTGAATGAAATACTTTGCACTTTCATGAGAAAAAAAGGAAGGCAGCTCAGAGAATACGAGTATAAATAACAAGTGAGGATCGGACATTTCAATAACAAAACAATCATATACAATTTCACATAAAAGAAATGACTCTCTCTTAATTTCACATAGTAGAATATTTTCAAGTGATTTTTTTCTTGGTATAAATTTTTTTTGTTATAGAATACTTGCGAAGCATGCTTAAATGTCCTGAATATTCTCTATGAAATTAGATAACCACTCCTTCATCTCTTTTTGTTTATTCTCACCTGAATATCCCAGTTCACACAAATTATATCCCGTGTAATAGCGGTGACCATAACTAATTAGATGAACATCACTTTCACTTCCTAATCCTGCTTGCCAGATGCCAACAGAGGGAAGGAGGCAGCGGTAGTCGCGTGTAATAGTGGTAACCATAACTATAAACACTGTTTATCACTTTCTAGCTATGATGAGCATTTGAATCAGTGCCGTATCATTGCTTACGCAGACCTGAACATGCCAAACTCACCGATCTGCAGTTTCTACTGACACGACAAAAAATATTATTTGAGAATTGAAATTAGCACCGTTCCAGAAGCATCTGAGAAAACATAACAATTCTGAGTTAAGCTGTTGCTGGTCTGGGAAATATTTTTTCAACGTGTGATAGTTTTTTCTCGGAAAAAAAAACACTCGATTCACTGAGTACTAAAAACGGGAAGGGAGAAGTGAAGAATGCGGGCCGATCCATTGATGGAAACCCATGTGCGCGATAATTAGTCATTACTCATTACTGTATACAATTAGTCCACCGGCCTCCCCAGTGAATCTAATATCTCTCTCATTCTATACATGTACGTGTGTGTGTGTGTGTGTGTGATATATAAATTCTCACCAGTTAACGAGGCACGCATTGATTCTTTAATTGAATAATTGCTAACTTTCTTTATTAAAAACAAATCCTCAAATTATTTTCTGAAAAGTTCCAAGTGCTATTACATCTAACAAAATCTACTACTAAAACCCAGAACGATGAATGTCATTTCTTTTTTAGAATGGTTGTCAAGAAAATATATTTCATTAACGGTTTATTGGTACTGGGGTAATGCTCTTAGACAGAGGATATATATCGTTTATCCTACAAAATAAGGCTTATATTGCTAATTTTTTACAATTTCATTTCTTTCTTTTTTTGAATATTAATTGAAGTGTTAAAATCGAAATACAATAAAGTTTCAGCCTCTCATTTGATTAGAAGTAGATGAAGTCCCAAAAAGAACCTGTCAATGTAATGAGACAGTTTTCAATTCTTAGGTGCAATGA